GAATCATATTTTGTATTATGGAGGAAATGTGAGAATCCACTTAATAACTTAAAGAAAGAACTAAAATCACACATGTAGCATCTATAAAGGAAATATACATTACCAGGAGCATGATACACAGTCAGCTCTTAAAAACAATCTTTATGTCTGAAGGCTTTAGTTAGGAAAAATTGGTTCTTCTTTTTCATGTCTAATGTAAAGAAATACTGTGCTTCTCAGGCTTAGGTAGAGCTATTTTCAGATACAGTAATAAAAGAGAAAAGTCTTTGTCTTCTTGTATATCTACTGTCACTACATAAAAGAAGTCCACTAACAGCTAGCAAGGTCCTGGCAGATTAACCCTCTCCTCCAGCCTTCTGTGATATTTCTAAAACCATCTGCTTGTTCAGTGCATCCATTTTTACACTTCACCCGAAAAATAATGTTTGGAGAGTTTTATTAGACAGGATTTGCTTCTGCAAAGGGCTGTCTTAAATAAATGAGATCACCGATTCAGTTCAAAATTCTTTAGCCTTTTAGTAGACCAGCTGTATCTATTATGTATGGCCCTTCTAAGTCAGCAGCCATTAGAGGATATAGTAGTTAAGAAAGCCCAGGTACGGCTATTCTCAGACAGGAAAAAATCTGCCTGCCAACGCACAACACACCAGTTTGCGGGTTTGATCCCTGGGTCAGGAAGAGCCCCTGGAGAAGGAAATGGAAACACACTCCAGTATTCTTGCCTGGGAAATCCAATGGACAGAGGAGCCTGGCAGGCTACAGTCCATGGGGTTGAGAGAGTCGGACGTGACTTAGCGACTAAACAATAACAACATGGTCACTCTAGCCTCTAACAGGTTTGCCCAAGGTGCAGAACAAAAGAAGACATTACTTTGCTTTAATTGTACAAGTAAAACAGCTTGAGAAACAATATGAAGCAGAATCAAAGTCCTTATTCCTCCTTACGAACAGGATGATTTATTTTACTAGATTTCCAAGGGAAGAGAAATTTGCCTGCATTTTCCCATCAATGCCCACCACTCCCCAAGCACTGCTTGGTTAAAATGTTTCCACTAAGTAACCTGAATAATAGTATGAATGTCTTTGCATGGGACTGAAAAACAAAACAGAAAAGCATGTGAGTGTGGCACCTTTCGACGGACAGCAAAGAAAGTCACAAGATGGAAGAATAACAGGGAAGGAGCTTTTGAGTTATGCCAGTCTGGAAATGAGGCTTTAGGACTGCCAGGCATTACAAATTGCAGCCTTCATGAGAATGCCTGTTTTCCAAATGTCGCTTTCAACCGACACGGTTTCCGCTTAACATTTGTCAAACCTCTTCTTTTGTTAAGAGTTAACGTGTCAGCTTTTAAAATGGCTTGCAGTTTCCATCCACCCTCCTTGATGGAAATGTGAAAAGTGTGAGTTACTCCCTTTCACAAAGAATCTTGTCAAGGATCCTGACTCCAATCTGACTTCTCCTCTCGGCGACCAAAAAAAAAAAAATCTGCCTCCTGGAAGCTTAACAAGCGGCGACGATCTGATCATAACTCTGCACAGAAACAGAAGTTAGTCGACAATAGCCCGAAAACGCTAACGCGCTTGTAGGGTTTGAGCGTCGACATCCAGAAGGAGCCAATTCCTTTGACAGAGGGAATAAGTGACAACAAGCGGGCAACGCAGTGACACCAGCCAATATGTTCCCTTTGCTGAAAGTACGATAAATGAGCAAAGAGGAAGCTCCGTCTGAGGAATCATCAGAATGTGACGAGTGCCCCAACGTACCCCCAAAACAACCTCCTGAAGAATCGCCTCTCAGCACTCTCCCAGCCCACACCTGCCCACATCCCCTCCTGTTCCATCCTCATCCACTTAAATCCCTGCCAAGTATTTTAATTCCTCCTAAACACTGACTTTCCTGTTTTGTTTCAAACATCCATGTCACCTCTTGGAGTCTGTTAAGAGTCTGGAAATCAGATAATTCATCTCTCCTGGACTGTCGCTGCTCGAGACTCAGAAGGCCTCTTAGGATGCGCTGGGAACAGGAAGGTCACCTTGAACCTCAACCAGGGACACGAAGGGAAATGAAATGAGCTGGTGAGTTCTTAATGCTCTCATTTAGGTAATGGGTCGATTGGTTAGAAAGGGGAGGGAAAAAAAAGGAGATTCACTGGTATTTTAAGTGCCAGAATAAAAAATTAAAATATGCTTTTATGACAGGCTAAAGATCAATATATATTAAAAAAAAGGATTTTTTAATTGGAAGGGGTGTGCATGACTTATATAAAAAGAGATGAGGAAGTGAAGATTAGAAACTACAGGTTTTAAAATAAAGGACCTAAGACTAAGGTACCAAATAAGACATTTGCCTTGTTTAAAAAAAATATCGGTGTAATACATAAACTGCCTCCGTGCAAGTCATCACATGTACAGCTTTACAAAAGTAGCCAAATATCTGCTAATTAGATTTAATTTTTCAGAGAGTTGAGAAATCCTATAAGTCCTCTAATTATGAAGTGACTGCTTAAAAAAAAAAAGAATTAAATTTGATTTCTATTTACATGAGGATATACAAACATATACTTATTCTTCTAAAAGAGGACCTTAAATTATAAAAATCAGTAAAACATAGTGATGGCATTTTTGCACAAGTATATTTTTTTAAAAAACAGGCTGAGCACTTGAGGCAGGGTCTTACTTGGTTCACAGGCCATGTTTCTGGCTGGTATGTTGATTAAGGAATGAAGGTCACGGCTCCACTGGGAGAACAGGAGGGCAGAAAGCTGGGATACAGAAAGTGGTTAACATTCTTCTCTTTCCCAAGGAGGGGAGAAGGGGAGAACTCTAAGAGAATTCACTTTAGGGAGGTCCCTGCTCCCAGGAGTTTAGTGTCAAGGGCATTCTCGCAGGAGAGGCACACATACTCCTCCCACATCAGTGAACAGAGCACTGACTGGGACCCCTACAAAGGGGTCGGTGGCTCTCTCACGCTTCTCTACGCTTTTCCATGCTCATTTAACTGGACAAAAGATAACAAAATTCTCCAGGAGGAAATCATGTAAAAAATAAGCCAGTGGGCAAACTGCTTATATAACTCTGATCCCCCAGTATAAAATGCTATTGAAGCAGACACGAATATATACATCAAACATGGCATGACTAAGTGGATCACAGATTCTCTTTCAAATAAGTATCCATAAACCCAGTCAACACCTCTCCTTTATCCAGAATCCTAATGACGTTCAAATAAACAGAAACTGCCTGTAATAGCACATAACGGTGATTAAGTGCCTAATGACTCTAATGTACTCAAAATCCATACATTCACAATGCAACCTCTTAGAAGTGAAATGAAAACTAGAAGCACGTTTCCACGCACTGTATTCTAATTCTCTGTAAATTCCAAATTAGTGTGCTAGTGTAAATTCTAAATTAGGGTAGATTTAAAAAATCATTAACCAGAATAAACAACAGAGTGTTTCCCCCAATTCTGGATTAACAGTAGCTTATTTATTTTTCTGTAGTTATTATGTACAATGTTTTTCTAATAGCACACCACCCTACAAACCAAAGCACTGCATAACCTTCCACTCACTAATGAAACATTAGAGGCTAATCTAAAACTGATGCTAGCAACGATTAAGAATTTAAGAGAAACCAAACGAACAATAAACAGCTAATTTGCAATTATACTTTCACACATTTTCATGATGAACTAGACAAATTTCCAACCCTGAGCTATGTTCATTTAGAAAAAAAAAACCTATGTATGTATAATAATTGCCCATATCTATATGGTTCATGAAACAGTAACACACACCCTATACATCTCTCATTTTACTCTTTAGTAAGTCTTATGACATGAGATAAATATTACGATTTCAAAAAAAATGTTAAGGTATCATCTTAAAAGAAATCTAAACCATGCTTCAAGTTGCATTCAAATACAAGGATATGCGTCATTTTGGCAATTTCAGTTTATTCTGCTTGAATATATATCATTGTTCTTTCACAGTTTACCTTCTCTGTGATTCTGTCTGCGGGAAATATACCAAAAGGAGTCCCAGAGGTGTCACCAGGAGCATGGCCCCATGAGGACTTGTATTACCAGGACCACCACTGGCCATTCATGGGCTAGGACTCCGCCCTGTCAGTTAAATCTGACCCACTGTTCCAACAGATCCGGAGAAAGCCGTGTTGAGCTGAGGGGCAGGGAATAGCTCTGACACCCAAGGAAAAAAAAGGGAGACTCCACTGGCTGCAGCCTTTAATGACCCCCGAGGTCTTCTCTAAGAGTTGGGATGTTAAATTCTCACTGGACACAAAAACAGATCAAACTTGACTGTGAACTGTTTCAAGTCTTTTGCAGTTGCTTAAAACTAGAGGTGGCTAGCTTTCAGCATTAGAGTGTCACTGAAGCACTGAGAGAAATGATCACTTCAATTTGGGGGTGGTGAGTGGGGGGAGCAGAAAATAGTAACAGAAGACACAGTAATAGCAGAGCCGGTGGAAGTGCTAGAACTCCTTCTCACCCGGACACCCTGAGGAAAAGAGAGGCGGGAATACTTAGGTTTTAATGCTGGCCCCCCCCAGGGGTGCCCTGGACCAGAGGGAAGGACTTGAAAGATTTTGATGCTGTGACTTAAGCCAGCTGATCCCTCCTCGTTTTCTGTCTTATCTTTTCCCTTAAAGAACAGAATGATGCTTTCTTAGTATGCTCTACTGATTTTATAAATAAACCACTTAACAATTTTGTTCACAACATTTGTTATTCTCTGCATTCAAAGGAGAAAAGAATATGTTCTGATCTTAATGTGTCTGGTGAATTTCCTTAGTGCCACGCATATTCAGCCAGTTTAATACCTTAAAAGATTTCTAAGCAAAACTGGTGTAAATTTCCTTTGACAATGTGAATGAAAAATAATCTATAAATAAAGACAATTACTATCAGTGGTTGTTAAACTGGCATAATTACAAGTACCATAAAACCAGTCTATTTCATAAAATCACAGTCTACTTACTATTTGTACGTCTCAGAGCGGATGTATTCAAAAACATGGGACACGCCAAGCTGGAACTGGTCAGCGATAGGGGTAACCCAGGGATTGTTCTCTGCTTTGAATATCTGCTTCTGACCAGTTAAATCCAAGTTTCCTGAAAAGACGGAGAGAAAAAAAAATGAAGGTCATCTAACCAACAGAAATCAAATGCATGCCTGGTAACCACAGCACAACCTTAAGCATCTTCTGAGTCATTTGATTTGTTTTAAAAATATTTAGCCCAAGTCACTGCTGGTCTATAAGCCATGTCAATGATTGCATACTGACGCAAGAAATTAGGAAGGAAGGGAAGGCGATAAGGAGAGAGGGGAGAGGGAGTAGAAGAAAGAGGTAAGAAGGAAGTAAACTTGGAAGGAATGCATACAAATGTAGCACTTGCTTCATTTTTTCCAGTATTTGCTAAAGGAACAAAAACGGCCTTCCAGAATAGAGAGAACCCTTAATATCAGGACATCCCCCAATTTCACCTTGACAGTGTGCATCACCATTTGTCCAGTAAGACTGAAACCTGATCCAATCAACACCACTTTTCATCAAAGCAGGACACAAGTGGAGAAAGATGAGGACACTGCCCATGTAAAACTACTACTGCCTCTCTCAGGCAGCACAAGCACATCTCAGAATCAGCACTAAACGCATCGCAATAACATGGTTAAGGGCAGAAATGCATACACATATATACTACCCATTCACAAATTACCTGTGAAAAGCATTTCCTCCTTTGATTCTCCAGCAATCCCTAAAGTCAGTCATTGACATCACTTTACCGGTAAGAAAAAACACAGAAACTTGGGGAAATTAAGTAATATCTCTAAGAACACAAAATGTCAGAGTAGGGATTTGAATCTAAGCCTTCTGACTCCAAATCTCTTATATATTTCTACAGTGTTTGGTGACTATGTGTCAATCTAGATCAACCAAACATGAGCCAATGAAGGTAGCCAGCATCTGGGTACCATGCGTTGGCGGCTCAGTTGATTCTCTATATATGTTTTTCTGTTTGGTATATTTGAAACTGGAAAAGGAAGTGTGAGAAAGAACTTCAAAGAACATGCTTGCCTATGAGAGAGACAGATGTTACACAGTAGAGCTGCATGTGGTTAAAATGGCAGTCAGCTGGCTCACCGACATCCTTGCCCTGAAAGTCTTACTGAAGAAGTCCATTTTCACACCCCTGGTCTACAGTCTAAGACTTTTGAACAAAGACACCTAGCAATTATTCTTAACATTTCTGTCCTGTTCAGAGGCTCCAACTGCCAATTTTGTCATAACGAATAACTGCAGGATATGGAAAACATATTCTAAGGATGCAAGCACTGCTCAAAGCACATCATTTCCCAGCTAATCTGAACTTCAGAAATGAGAAAAAAATATTCTAGGACAGTGATGTAGTATTTCTTCTTAAAAGAAATGCTGATACTCTGAATCTGCCTTCCTTGTTATATCAACGGAACTTGTACCACACTTCACTTGATTATGCTCTGCACATACTAACTACAGTTTTTATAAAGTGAAAGTCACGGCCACCTTGCATCCTTAAGTCTTTCGGTGCCATTCTTCCAACATCATCTGCTTACTTTGTGTCTCTGGGCCACATTTTGGTAATTCTTCCAATATTTCAAGCCTTTTTATCCTTATTATTTATGTTATGGTGATCAGTGATCAGTGATTTTTGATGTTACTACTACACGTCACTGAAGGCTCAGGTGATGGTCAGCAGTTTTTATCAGTAGGAAAATTTTTAATATGTGTTTATTTTTGGCTGCACTGGGTCTCGGTTGCCATACATGGGCTTTCTCTAGCAGCGGTGAGCGGGGTCTACTCTCCAGATGCGAAGCGCAGGCTTCTGATTGCAGTGGCTTCTCTCATGGCCGCGCACAGGCTCCAGAGCTCATGGGTTTCAGTACCTGTGGCTCGCAGGCGTTAGAGCTTGGGCTCAGCAGTTGTGGCGAACAGGTTGAGTTGTGGCATGTGGGATCTTCCCAAACCAGGGATGGGCCCGGCAATGGCAGGTGGATTCTTGACCAATGAACCACCAGGGAAGTCCATCACTAAGAAATTTTTAGCTAGATATGGACATTTTGGGGCTTCACGGGTAGATCAGCTGGTAAAGGATCCACCTGTGATGCAGAGAGACCCCAGTTCGATTCCTGGGCGGGGAAGATCCCCTGGAGAAGAGATAGGCCACCCACTCCAGTACTCTTGGCCTTCCCTGGTGGCTCACATGGTAAAGACTCTGCCTACAACGTGGGAGACCTGGGTTTGATCCCTGCGTTGGGAAGATCCCCTGGAGGAGGGCATGGCAACCCACTCCAGTGCTCTTGCCTGGAGAATCCCATGGACAGAGGGGCCTGGCGGGCTATGGGTCACAGAGAGACAGACACGACTGAATGACTAAGCAAAGCACATGTAGATTTTTAGACGTGGTGCTACTGCACCACGTATAACAGACTACAGTATAGTATAAATAAAACTTTTATATGCAGTGGGAAACCAACAAACTTGAGTAATCTGCTTTACTGTGATATTTGCTTTACTGTGATGGTCTGAAATGCAAACTACAGCCATCTCAGAGGGGTGCCTGAATGAACTTGAAGCTATTCAGAATAAAAGAGGAAAAACAGACCAACGGAAAAGTGATCCCTATTTCATAAAATGCTTTTAAAGAAAACAGATATTATGAAATAGTAAAAGAGTAATCCATCATATTTCCAAAGCTATTTAAAATCTGCTGGTTAAGTATAAAAATAAGCAGATACATTTCTCTCCAAGATTATCAATATTGTCAATTTCCTCATCTTAATGGTTAAACATTATTAGTCAGATATTAAATCACTTGGGAAATTAACAGGCTTTATTCTCTACACCGTGAGTCAGAAAACTGCTTGGGATAAGTGGAAATGCAAATGTTGCACATACTGGGTTTAGCCAAGTATCCTACGAAGGTGTAACACTGCTGGCAGTGGACTGCTGTTTATATATTTTGCTTTTATCTTTACTTGGACAGGAGACAAGTCTTTCAGCTTCCCAAGAATCAAATTGATTGCTTGTTTAAATTTTGCTATAATTCTCATTTCCTCATTTGCTATCCCCTATGTCCTCCTGTCCCTATAATTGTCTCTTTACTCCTTTTTCTCCAATTTCCACATTTCTTAAAAATGACTAGAACAGAGGTTTCTAAGGAAAGTCTTCCATTTACAAACAAGTCTGTATTTCTTAAGTGTCATGTTTACTTTAAGTTTTTAAAATATTTTTCGGCTATGCCACTCGGCATGTGGGATCTTAGTTCCCTGACCAGGGACTGAACACGTGGCCCCCTGCATTGGAAGCTCAGAGTCCTAATCACTGGACCACCAGGGAAGTTCCTGAAGTGGCGTGTTTTAAACGCACAGTGTCTTATGTTGTGCAGCGTCCTTAGGCAGCAAGGTCACTGAGGGAAGGGCCGAGTGACCAGGTGACAGTAACCACGGGGCAGAAATTCTCCCCAAGTTGGGGGTTACTAGAGGTAAAAGCCTCTTTCTTAAAACATGCACCTAATTTACAGCCTACATTTACCCAATATCCCCTTCCTGCCTCCAAGCCCTGCCCACTTACATTATCATGGAATCAACTGTGAAAAGAAATAATCAATGAGACCTTCGGGAAAAAAATTCCTTCTAAAATGGGTAACCAAAAAAAAAAAAAGCCATGAAAAGCATAAATTAATAAAGACGTGAACAAATTTCTAAGCAAAGATTATTTCCCTGATAGAGATGGCTCTGCCCTAAATATCTTTCTTCCTCATCCCCCCAAATTGGCTAGTCTAATGAAAAATTCAGTCTAACTTTCTCAAGGGTAGAGTCTATCCGATGAACAAGCTTCCTGGCCTCTGTCATTCACACATTACCATGAACTAACTCAACTGGACCGCTTTCCTATTTAACCTCTGGTTCCGATGGATGGGCATCACAGGAATGTGACTTAAAAAACAAAACAAAACAAACAAACAAAAAAACTCTGGGGAAGGAGGGTGGAAAGAGAAGTAGCTGTGTCTGGAGCACCGAGGATTTCTTGGCTTGCTGTATTTTCAAGGCTCTGGGTCAGTGTGAGAACAATGTGGACCAGGGAAAGAATTTAGGAAGGACCCCAAAGACAAGCCTCAGTTTTTCCAAATTTGCCCAGGGGAGCAGGAGAGGAAGACGGCCCTCTTCTTTCCCAGACTGCATTACCAGCTCCCTCCCACCCAGGTGCAGGGTTTGCCTGAGACAGACTGGCTTCTGGGGCTACTTGCTGCAGGGCTTCCACCTAGACATACTTCTCCTCAAGCAAGGAAATACAAAGAAACTATATGGGACTAAAAGTAAGTGTGTGCAAGCGCAGCTGGGGCAAACATGGACAAAAGATACAAAAAGACCAAAAAAGCCCTACTGCCACTTCTAACTGGAGAAGGCAATGGCACGCCCCTCCAGTACTCTTGCCTGGAAAATCCCATGGACAGAGGAGCCTGGTGGGCTGCAGTCCATGGGGTCGCTACAAGTCGGACATGACTGAGCGACTTCACTTTCACTTTTCACTTTCATGCATTGGAGAAGGAAATGGCAACCCACTCCAGTGTTCTTGCCTGGAGAATCCCAGGGATGGGGGAGCCTGGTGGGCTGCCATCTATGGGGTCGCACAGAGTCGGACATGACTGAAGCGACTTAGCAGCAGCAGCCACTTCTAAAGAGCCTGGAGCAAAAACTAGATGTTGCCAACTGCAAAAGCAGGGTCCTGTGCACTCCACCCTGCACTCAATACCACCTAAATGGTGGGCAAACCACCTAAGCCACCCCTCCAGCCCAACCCTTGGACACACTCCTATCTTCACCCATATAAGGAACCAGCTCCTCACCCCAGGGAGTGAGCGAGGGAACCTATCACCTGTTCTCACTCCTCCTTGCGCCAACAGGAGCCCCGATGAAGCCCTGCCTGAATCTGTCTGGCCTCTAGTCAGCTTCTATTGATTGGGGAAGGACACCAACCCTGATCAGCATCATGCCCACTAATCCAAGAGTACAGGTATGTTATGAACAGGTTTAAATGGATCATCCTTGAAATCAACATACAGGTACAGGA